AACGCAGAGGTGTTTGGTCTTAGCACCATACACCTCACCCTACTGAGTAAATATCAAGTCACACATGAACATGAACTCCTCACGGATGTTTACGACCGGTTGCGGACATCGTTCCTCTTCAACTTGAAAAGTGAAATCATACCTGTAGAGAACTTGTCACTTTCTAATAAGGCAGCATTTATAAAGCGTTTATATGGTGAAAGTATTTACTTTATTAACGGTTAATACATCTTTCCTAATGCTTTGTAGGTCAGTTATAATTGTTATAATTGTAATGTATTGTCATAATTAATAAGAGCAATTTTTGAGTTGCCAGATTGTGGAAAATCGTTGTTGAGCACAACTCTTGTCTTTTTAACTCTTTAATCTATAAGGGACCTTTATTTTTAACTGCTACTTATTTACAACTGCAGACTTACTATTATATAACCATTTATTCACGTATATATAGAGTTTTACCAGCTATTGATAAATGTGCGAAACTAAATGTAGAGAGAACAACACAGTAAATATGAAATGTTTGAATAAAGACTCTCCTGCATCAGTGTTTCCTGTTTGCAGTTAATGTTTTGGTAAAACATGGTGTTTCTGTTCAGTAATAATGCAGTTCATAACATGAACAAGTACTGAGGCTTTCACTCTTTCTAATAACTCATCAGGTCTGCAGTTATAAATGTTTTAATGACATTAATAAAGGATCCTGGGTTTCTCAGTTTCTAATGAGCAATTAGTAAAACTCAGTATATTATGAAGACACTGTGACTGTTCGACCCATTAACTCCCCATTAACACAGAAAACCATTTAGGACAAGACGAAATCAGATACATTCTTCATTCATCTATTAATTTTGTCACGTTTCCCGCGGGAGCAGAGGCAGAGATGATGAATCCTCCTCTGTCTCCTTCAAACGTCTCCTTCTGTTTCTCTGACATCCGTACAGGAAATTTACAGAGCACGCTAGGGTAATATTTTCAAGTGGGCACTTCTTTTCCGAAGAAATTCCTACAAAGAAACTTGATATCGAAAAGAAAATTCTTAGGAAGAGTTCCCGGGAAGGACTACAAACTAATTACAGGGAAACAGGAGATAGCTTTTATTATTATTGCCCTGCTATTGCTTTTTGCTCTCACATGACACCTTTTGTAGTTTAGGAAAAGCACAGTAGTAGACTTACCTTTGAATTTTGAAGTAATTCTCAAAACCATGGGTCTTCGATTTCAGACAAAAGTAATAAAGTAAAGGCAGCTTCTAATTTCCAGCCATCACCTTTTTGTCCCATTATCACTGACACTTTGGGACTAACAGATTTTTATAAGCTGTAATAGCAACGTTAGCTCCACAAGTTGAATTTTATGTTAAAGTTGTCCCTGCTTTACTTTTTAATGTTTGCAGCTGACCTGTGTTCAAGTAAAAACCCTGTTAAAGATGTCTTTAAAGTAAAAACCATGTAAAACAAAAAAAAACAAAAAACATCTTGAATATGCTCTTGGCTACCGCTAAAAGACTGAGGCTAAAGCTAACAGCTGAGGCTAAAGCTAACAGGCCCTCAGCAGTTGATGATCTATGTGGAGGATTTTGAAATAAAGAGATATCACTTTTCTTGCATTGCATTGTAGAGTATTGCAAGTATGATGTGTGAAAAGGTAAATTTTATTTTATTTTGCTTAGCCAACCTTTTAGCTTGTTCATGTTTTCAGACAGTAGCTATTTTGTTTCACTTTTAAAATCAAGAGAAAATGCTCTTGTTTGTCTGATTGGTGAATGTAATGCAATCCCATATATTATAAGTTTGGCTGGAGTTTCTTGGGGGGAAAACTTCAACCCAATGAAGAGCGGGACACACATGCTAACGTTAGCCCACAGGCTACTCTTAGCATCCAGAACAAGGTGTTTATACTGTATATAATAACCCCACAAAATAGTGCAATATGAAATTCCTGAGGGTAGTCTTGCTGGTGCTAAGCTACTGTAGTTAGCTGCACATGCTAATGTTTGCTAACATCAAGGCAAATAGTGTTTATTCTTTCCTATAATATGCAATTAATTTAATAACTGCTCAGTCGGTGTGACTTTCTATTCTCCCTTTGACAAATTCAGTAACAAGGGAAAGTGACACTGAAAATTTTACTGAAGTCTTACGCAGCTACAAATATCAAATCTAACAACATGATTTAACAATTAAGGTGACAAAGACGAATAAAAACAGGAGGGAACAATCGGTCTACGGTGCATCCTGTCGGCTCTAAGGTGCTTTGCATGTCTCAGACTGCGGGTTCAAACTGTTGGTGACCTCAGTTGCGTTTCTCTTCCTTCTGCTCTGACTTCCCCCGATCCTGTTGTTGTCTATTGTGTGGTGAAACTCACAGGGGAATTAATCTGTCCCAAAGCCAGGCCAGGATGTTAAACATAGGCTCTGGAGGTCTTTGATACTCTGATGGATCTGCTCACCTCAGATATCTCTACAACTATTCAAATGATTGCAATGAGTCTTTGATTGCATGTTCAGCATCTTCACACTGTAGACTATAATAGAGTTTTAATTTGATCTTGGCCTGAATAATGTGTATCTTTGAGATTCAGCAAACACGTTTTACAGAATAACAGACTGTATTGTGGTAATACTGCAGATGTCGTCCAGTTTATAGTCATAAATATGTCTTGCTTGTCTTCTTCCTCAAACTTCCAGGTCACTGAATGTGCCGTCCCAAAGGGAAAATATATAATATCATAATAAACCTAGAACATATGCACATAAATTATTAAATCAAGAGCATTATTTATTAAATTATGAACACAAATTAGTTTTTTCTTCTCTTTTCTCTTTCGTTCTTTTTTGTGTTTAGTGCCAATTCTCAAATGTTTGCATGCTAAGCTAATATGATGAACACTGTAGACATTATATATACATTATCTGCTAAATATGAACATGTTAGCTTTGTCACTGTCAGCATGTTAGCATGCCGATGTTAGCTTTTAGGGCAGCAGCAGTTATACCATGGCATCATCACTAAACTGACAAATTACATGAATGTCTCCTGACGTCAGCAGTTCTTTCTGCAAAGTGTCAGTTGTGACTGAAGGTAAATGAAAGAGTAACGCAATAATAGCTGTGGGATTACTTTGAATACACTAAGATTTATCCACCTGCTGTTCTGTCCTGTAATTCAATACATGTATTAAGCCATTAAGCCATGGGATATTTGCCAGCGTGAACAATAAGTGGCTGCACCTAAATCACTTGATTTAGAAAAATCAAAATGTCTCAGAAATTGTTTATATACATAATAATACACACAGTATATAGAGAAATGAATAATATATAGAAAATATGGGAATATCCTTCTAAATATCTTTTATTAAAGGGCAAAGAGATGTTTTTTTGAATTGTTTCGATGCATAAATGAAGGTATGAAGGTCTCATCTGCACCTCACATCGATCAGACACTTATACAGGTCATTTGAAATGATTAAATAATTAAATTAAATAATTAGCACACTGGAGGAGTTTCAGTCTTGTGCTGTTGTTGAGCAACAAAACAACTATAATACAAGTTGAGGCTGTAATCTCTGTGCCGGATAATTACTTGATCCCTGTGTGGCAGATGGAGGTGTCTGTGTGTGTCTGTTCCCTATGATGTCCCTGTCAGTCGTGTCTGTTTCCCAAAATTTAAAACGTGTTCTACAAATAAATGTGTTTGATACTTTTAAACTTTGACTGACGTGTAAATCTGATCTTTGCAGTTTATTCTTCTGTAGCATCTGTTGAAGTGAAGGAAGGAAAAAAAAGCCTTTTCCTTCTTTATCTTTGATCAATAAATGAAAGAAAGAATTAAAGTGATGATTTTATGTTTCAAGAGGGAGACAAGACAACCACAGACAGTATGAGTAAGACCGGAAGTAAGCCTTCAAAATAAAAGCATTTGATTTGTTGCGCTTGGAAACAACAGCTAGCAGAGCAATGAACAAGCTCTAATGTTGAAGTTCTATAATAAACATGGGTTTTCATTCTGTGTAAAAGACATGATGGGTTACACAGGTGCAGAGATAATAAAAGGAAGTGTCGTATGAGGTAAATTAAGTGAGATCACGCTCATTACCTGTATCTAAAATTACTAGAAACTTCTCAGTAGAGTTGTAAAATAAAGCATTTCTATTATCAGCTGTAGGAATGAATTTTTTTACCAGTGCACCAATATAAACACACTCTGCATTTGAAGTAAAAGTGCAATAGTATTGTCAGCAAAATGTAGTTAAAATCGAAGTAAAAGTACTTGTTCCACAGTAAAATGTCCCTCTGAGGTATATATGTTATCATATATGACATTATTAGATTGTTGGCACTGATGCATTCATGTGTAAGTAGCAGTTCACTGTTGTTTTAGGAATACAATTAGGTAATTAAGTCTAGTGCTTCTCAAGCCAAGGGACAGACCTCTCACAAGAAAAATATATGAGGAATTACAAGCCACAAATGTTGAGGAACTTTGGTTTAACTATGCTTTTTATTTTTATAAGCTTATCATGTTTTTTTTGGTTTGTTTTTTTTACATAAATCTTAATCTTAAAAGTAACTATTAGCAAACTATAGCTGTCAAATAAATGTCGGGGATCATTCAAGATATTCATGTTACAGAGTAAAAGTAAATAGTGGCAGAAAAAGAGAATAAAGTTCAGTAAAGTACAAGTATCTCAATGTTGTAGTAAAGTTGACTTTCTCACGGGGCTTTATTTTGAAATGTCTGACCAGAAGAAGCCTACCTGTTGTGAGCTGGTTGGCTTGACAACGGAGGGACAGGTTGTGGAGGAGGAGGAGGAGGAGGAGCCTGACCATGCTGGAGACCAATGACAGGACAGGTAGTAACAGGTGAGCAGGAGACGCGCGCGCGCGCACACACACACACACACACACACAGAGGGAAAGAAGAGGTGGCCGCGGCGCTGAAAAGGCTCCTGGGACTTCAGGTCCTGTCTGACATGACGGGGAATTAGAGAAGCGAGGACCATTTGACCGTCCGGGAGGAAACCGCTGCTGATCTGGATTATTACCGCGACTAAAACCCGGAGGACAGAAAAGAAAACACTTTAAAAAAATATATCCGTGTAGCAAGTGTCTGTGGTCAGTTAGTGCGACTTGAGATAATTTACATTAGATTTTTAAAGTGTCACAGCAGCTGCAGTTTTGCTGTACGTGCTTGTGTTTGTAGCGTTGGTTGGACCTCATGGTAGATTATTGATCTGTTGTCGATCACCGGCCCAAAGGATCTGATCCAGCGTCTGTTTTCCTCTAAATGGCAGTTTCTTCTTTGTTGTTGGGCCACAATGTTTCTGCAGCAGCAGAGCAGTAGTTTGGCAGTGGAGGGTTGTTTATCCTTTCATAACCCATCAGAGGATTGTTAGGGGTGTTTACTGTGAGGGGTTTTTATAAGAGTTGCCAAATTAATCCCAGAATTATTGCTGACTACACGAGCACCATGATCAGCTCGGAGGGCCTGCGGCCGAGCACGAACGGCAGGAAGCCGCTGGGCAAGCTCGCCTCCCGGCTGGAGGAGGTGAAGTCCCCGTGGCGACATGTCTCCACGCTGGAGCTGAGCCACAACGAGGCGGCCCGGCTGGCGACGGACGCCCTGCTGGAGCAGGGGGAGAAGGAGTACCGCAGGGTCCTGGCCGAGGAGCGGGAGCTCAACTTCCTCTCCCCGCTGGAGATTCGCTACATCACCCAGCATGTGGCCAAAACCGGCGGCTGCGAGAGCAACGGCACCGGCCCCAACGACCGGGACTTTGGGGACGGAGACGCCGTGTCCGAGCTCACCTCCGGGACTTACTTCCCTATGATGTCCGACGAGGAGCCGCCGATGCTGGAGCTCGGCTGGCCGGACTCCCCGGCGAGATACGGACCGTCGGAGACTCAGATCTACTTCCAGAGGGACAAGTCTCATAACGTCAAAGACCTCATCAGGTCCCTGATCAACAAGGCTAAAAAGGTAAGAGGACACCCGGGTTCACACTGTGGGTCTGTGACACACATGACAATTTAATTCATTATCAGTTCATTAAATAAAAAAAAACAACAAAAAGAAGCTTTTTAAGTACAAAAGAAATAGTTTTTATGTTCAGCGTAAAGAGGTTAGTCAGACACTATATGACATGTGCACTCATTAACTTATATAATAATGATCTAACATTTAATCTTCTTTAAGCCAACTGTGCTTGGCCTCATTACTGTTTATAGTGCAGCTAAATAACCACTAATCAATCCATTAATCAGAGGTCAGTCTGTTGTTAGCCTGGTTGACATGGCTGGAGGTCAAGGGGCAGCAGGGGAGGGGGGGTCCTCAGGTAAAGGTCCACAACATTACCATCCACCAGATGTTAGAGCAGCTGCATGATGCATGGAGGTGGTTATGTAAATGAAAATCCATCATAAATTCACTTTACATTCTGTCACAGCTGATGCAAAGATAAAGAGTTGAATAGTTTTGTTTGGTTTGAGCTTCATGTGCAGAAAGAGCAAACAAAACATTTTAAAATGTATTATTCAATAATAATAATGAATAATGTATTAATAAAGTTTAAATAACAGCTTTAAAGCCATTTCAGTGAACTAGGAGACATGTTGTATCCAATAGTATAATCTTTAATCTTTAAATGTAATTTAACAATTTTTTGTGGGAAATTCAAAATGTTAATTCAAAGCAGAGTATTTTTATACATATATATATATATATATATATATATATATATAAACCTGCCTGGAGGGGATCTTAAATCATATCTGATATAAATCATTATTCATGAACAGAAACATGTTGGTGTCTGTTTCCTGATAAACAACATGGTGAGGAGCTGGTTGTTTCCCGCTGTCAGCTGGGTGTTTTTTGTTTTCCGTCCCTCTCACCTGAGTGCATCATTTCTGCCTCCAGTGGTTTCCGCTTGGTTTGCTTACAAACAAATGCAGCAGGGCTGAAGAATGCGCCCACCCCCCCCGCCTCCGACCTGCAGTGTTTTGAAGTCAGACTCTTATCTGGCTCTGAGCACTGAGGCCGGCAGCTCACTCTGTCACTCATTCAGCGGCTGACCTCGGCTCGCGGGTCAGAGGAGTTTGACTCTCTGATCTCCGTCTTCGTGGTGGACATGAGCACAGGTGGATTATGAGTCAATGGGCCCCTGGACTCAGACATGTGAAAAGCCCCCCACCCTTCTTTTACAGGTGCAAGACACCCAGACTGACAGAGACTCTGTGGGTGTTTTGTATCTACCTGTAGTCGGTTTTTGTCTCTTTGTGGTTGTTCAGCTTCTCTGCAGTTGTTTTGTGTCTCGTTTGCAAATCTTAGTGGTCACTTTTTTTTGACTTGTTGCAGTGTTGTTTGTGTCTTTATGGCTGTTTTTACATTTCTTTTGTGGTTGTTTTAAGCTTCTCTGTGGTTGTTTTGTGGCTCATTGTTGTTGTTTTTTTGTGTGTCTTTTTGGCTGTTTTCCATCTCTCTGTGTCTCTGTAGTTGTTTGGTGTCTGTTTCTAGTCATTTTGCACAACTTTTTAGTCACTTTATGTCTCTTTGTGATTGTATTTGTTTATTTACGGTTGTTTTGTGTCTCTTTGTGGTTGTTTTTGTTTATTTAGGGTTGTTTTGTGTCTCTTTGTGGTTGTTCGTGTCTCTTTGTGGTTGTTTTGTGTCTCTTTGTGGTTGTTTGTGTCTCTTTGTGGTTGTTCTGTGTCTCTTTGTAGTCCCATTTGTCTCTTTGGTCTGTGCCCTTTAGTTCCGTTCGGTAACACATCCATTACACTCACTGCCACTTTGGAATCTGTAGAAATAAAATGAAAGCACTTAAACATAATAATCATTAACTTGACCCTGATGGCGTTTTGACTCGTTATCAGTTTAATGTAAAACATGGGGTTATAACTTATGACTTAAAGTTCTGAGTTTATCATGAATGTCGTCTCATGATCGCTGGACTAACAGTCAAATAAGGAACAGCTGGTTTATTGAGAGCGAGGCACATGTTGCAGATGAGTCACGTCTCCACAGACTCTTCCTTCTTCTGTGTGTATAAATAGACGGGGTTTATGTGCAGGAGTCTGCTGCTAATAAAAAATAAAAAACCGGAGGAATTGAAACCCGCATCAAATGTTGTGCGGAGACACAAGGAGGTGGAGGAGCCTCGTCCTCTCAGACGCGGCAGTAACACTGACCTCTTTCTCACACGCTTGTGCAGAGTCAGCAGGTGTCAGATCAAATGACACTGTGAGTGCAGTTCATCCTCTGTGTGTCGGCGAGAGCCGGACTTCACCTCACTCGCCGCCGTTCACAAAAAACATATTATAACACATGAACTGGTTGAACTGGTTTCATGTTTTAACCATCACAGGATTCACCTGAAATAAACAGGTGTATTTCCTGCACATGAATGTTTTTCCTGTTGCTTTCACTGACAGCTGATGAAAGTCTCTCTCAAGTGCCTTCAGTCAGTTGAAGTGTGCGTTATTCACTTGCAAACGGTGACATGGCATGTGCATACACGCTCGTAGGCGTGTAGGTATCTCATCGTGTTCTCACACACATTCTTGGTGTACATTAGTACGTTAATGTTGCATAACACACACCGTATGGAGGGCCCTTTCTTTTCTTCTCAGTGCGTATGAAGAGTGTGTTTGTAAAGCGAGACGTTCAGTATTTATGTTGAATTAACGCTGGATTACCGACGGAGCAGAGCGGGCAAATGTCCCCGCCGCCCCCTGAGCTGCAGGGGCCCGAAAAAGCTTCAGTTTTAAGGCAGAGCTCTTCGGGACACGTGTAGATAAAACAAAATCCAGGAAAACTCCAAAGCACTCTCCTTTTATAGATGATTAAAAGCCTTTGTTATCCAGGTTTAATCATGTTAATCCTAAAAACAAACTCTGACACATTTCAGCATCGAAGGCTCGGCGCCACGATCCTGAAGCCTTTTTAATAGTTTAAGAAAAGAGATTTTAAGACCCAGTTTTAATCTGTGCCAGTTGCTTTTTGGTCATTTGATTAGTGAATTTATGTGTTGTGATATTACATTTTGGATATCTGACCTAATAGAAGACCCTGTGTTTGGTTCTAATTTTAACCACCTGTACTTTATATTGTGTTGACGTGGTGCTTCTCCTCATTAACTTATTATTGACACATGAACCGTCTGACGTACAGAAAGCCTGGGGCCGGGTCGTCTGCCTGTAAAGGAGTAGTAGTTGGTTTCTGGGTCTCTGGGTTAAATAAAGCTGCTATGTTGTTTGTTGTTTGTGTGCACTGCACTTTAGGAGAACCTGGAGGCATCTGGAGGGGCCCAACAGAAATGTTTTTTCCCCCCAGGGCGTCAGGGCAGGTTAATCCAGAGAGATTCCTCACAAAACCAGTTGTAGTTTTTTGTAAAGCTATAATTATCTTTTGTTTTGAAAATATTGAGTCAGAAATCCTTGTAGTTAAATCCCTATCTGTTATCTAAACAGTATAATTTTATTGGCTGTAATTTAAAACAATAAATATCACCAGGGTTGCACATAAAGTATTTTCATTGTCGGTGAATCGGCTCTATTTCCAGTTTTCAGTTGTTGTGTTGACATCTTCAAAACCCTGAAGATGTTCAATCTACAGTGATTATAAAACAGAGAGAAGCAACAAATCCTCCCACTCAAGACACTGGGAGCAGAGAGTTTTTAACAGTTAAGAACAGTTGCTTAATAAGTGTCTTAAACGATAAATCAATTATCAGAATTGTTGCAAATTCATTTTCCGTCGATAGACAAATGAATTAGTCACCTAATCATTTCAGTCTACATATTATAACATTAACACATATTACCACAGTGATGTTCACCCCTCTTCCTCTGCTCTGCTCCAGGTGATCGCGCTGGTGATGGACGTGTTCACAGATGTGGACCTGATGTGCGATCTGATGGAGGCGTCCAACAAGCGCAAGGTCCCCGTCTACATCCTGCTGGACGAGAAGCAGCTCAGCTACTTCACGGAGATGTGCTCCGCGCTCGACATCCAGAACTCGCACCTGAGTGTAAGAACAGTCCCGAACACACACTCTGTTTTACTCACTGTAACGTTTCATTTCTCAGGCAAGAGACGCCTGAAAGACAGACACACGGAAATGTAGAAAATAAGCCATTTTTATTTTTAATCAGCGATCCCAGTGCAACTCAACATGAGCCCATCAGCTGCTGTTTTAACTCGGAATAAAACTCTGGTTTGCATCCGCTAATGAGAGAGTTCATGTTAATGAGGACACGCTGGGAGTACGTCCTCATTAAGCCGCTCTGTCTGGTGTTTTTCTCCCATCGGCCCCGCAGATTGTGTGAATCTGAAGATGGCAGCCGTCGTATCACCACTTCTTGTTTGTTCCCTCGTCTGACAACAGACACAGAGAAATGCGTAGATGGAAACAACTGTATTATGAATTTATCAGCGTCACAACACAGTAGAAGTGAAGACGGGGAGTAACTAAGTCTGTGCTGAGTCACAGTCGGCTGCAAAGTTCAGTCCTCTTTAACTTTTCTTTGTGATCAGTCATTTTAAAGCTCCATATTTTCTTCTTCTTCTGTGTTTTATTTAAAGTGTTGATCCATAAGAAGATATGTTTGTGGTTTTAAGAACCAAAAACCATCTCAGTGTAGTTTTACATCTCCTCTCTCAGGCTTCTCTCTGGAGCTCTAGTAACAACAGGTCGGTGAGCCAATCAGAAGAGAGGAGGCTCTGAGCCTCTCTTCTGATTGGCTGACTGTTTTCTGAGTGATCCAATAAAAATATAGCAGATTTCAGGTAAAAACACTCAGAGAAACCAAATCCTGCAAAGGTTTGGATGGTGGGTCCAGGTGGGCGGGGCTTGGTGACTGCTTTGTTGTGACATCACAAAGTTCCAGAAGTCCTGACGGCTGGTTTTAAGGCTCAGTTTCTGAATACAGGCTGTGTGCATTTCTCTGTGGACTGAGGCTTTGATACTTTCACAGTATTAATATAGAAGCTAGAGCTGATCTATAATCACACTACACATGGACACAGACCTTTACACTGGAGGAGCTTTAATTGTGGATGTAGGGATTTTGAGACGACGTCTCAACCGTAAAATAGTGAGTTGGCTCTCTTAGTGTGTGTGTGTGTGTGTGTGTGTGTGTGTGTGTGTGTGGGTGAGAGTGTGAGAGAGTGTTTTGCAACCTCTGCTGTACCGACGTCTCTACACTCAACCTCCAGAAGTCACACCGGGGTGTTAAGAACAGGATTGGAGAGATTGTAGCGTGACATGTAGCAGCCTGTAAAAAAACAAACATGGCAGCGCCGACTAAACACAGAACCACCTTCTGATTCTCTCATTTCTTAAGATCCCAGCGTGTTACTCAAATACCGTGTTTCTTCCATGTGCATTTGTTTCTAACGGTGACGCGTGTGTTTCTGTGTTTCCGTGCAGAACATGCGCATTCGCACCGTGTGTGGCGACACGTACTGCACCAAGAGCGGCAAGAAATTCACCGGACAGGTGCTGGAGAAGTTCATGATCATCGACTGTGAAGAGGTCATCGCGGGGTCGTACAGGTGAGCACAGAAAACACACACACACACACACACACACACGTGCTAATCATTAAGCATGTACTTAATTAACCTCCTCAGCGTCTAACCACAGCAACAAGGCCTCGCCTCTCTTTTGGCCAGGTGTGCAGTATTACTTAGATGGAGGCTCCGCCCACCCACGCTCAGGGGCTGGGGGACATTATGTCCTGTCTCTCCACCTTGAAAAGATCCAGTCTATAACTCAAACAACAAAAGTTCCTGAAGGTGTGGGGACTTTTTCTGTGGTTCAGTTGGAGTTTGTCCATTTCTAAACCCCATTTATTTCATATCTCTTTCTTTTCTAAATGCAAAACCCGACCTCCATAACCTGTGTAATACTCCAGGGGCGAAGAGCCTTTGTGTATAAGGAATACTGGGTTGGGGTTATAGTTGAATGTTGTGCTCCTTTTTAACATGGACACGTTCATAATATGAATTCTGTCCATTCGTTAAAAATCCGATAAAAAAAGATCTTTGAGGAAAGAAAAAAGCAAAATGTCACGTCGTTGTCGGAGGTCAGTTTCTGTCGTGGGATCAAATCTGATCGAAACAAACCCACACAGGCTCGTTTCTGAATGGAAAACATCAATAATACCGGAGGATATGTTGTTTTTTTTCTCAACTTTATCTCTGATTTTTTTTTTTTTTTGCATTAAAATGTAGAAATTCTGAAGATTTGAAAGAAAGTTTTTAGTGGCTGTGAAGGGCACAACACATGAAAGTGGTGTGTGTACGTGCAGCTGTTGTGTTTGCTGACATGATGCAGCAGTTTTTGCAGTAATTTAAGAAGGCTTAAGAAAGATCACAGATACAGTGTGTGTGTGTGTGTGTGTGTGTGTGTGTTTAAGAAAGCACACAAATAAAGAGACACATTCAAACTGCTAAAGTAAACAAACAGTCGACACAGCAGACGTGAGTCTGCGGAGCGCTCGCGTTCAGTGGTTTGACATTAACTTTGCATCCCTCCTGATAAGAGGAGTAACAGTGGATTACAGCAGGAAACCGCCTGAGCTCAGCAGCCAAAGTGAGTTTGCAAATGATCTGTGTGTGTGTGTGGAGAGAGAGAGAGAGAGAGCGTGTGACGGAGCTCGTGTCGTGCAGCGGAGAGACCGAGGCGAGGAGCTGCATTTGAAACTGCAATGAAAATACCTGAGTAATACCTGTAATTACAGCCACACGCTCGACATGGGGATGATAACGTGACACCGGCAGATTTCAACGTACAGTAAAATAAAGGAGTTTTAGCAAAAATGATTCTATCTTTTCTTGTGGTTTTCGTGGTTTTCCAGCTTCTGTTACTCGTCACTTTGAGTCTGATTTCAGTTCTGATGAGAAGTTATTAGATCTGTGATTAGATCTATAACATGTCAGAAAGATGAAAGATGCCCGTTTTCATATGTGATATATATTATTATCACTTATTTATCAATAGATACATGTTACTGTCAAACATGACAAACAAACAGCGTCAAAAATCTCAAAGTTCAGCAGCTGGATGCAGCAGATGTTTGATATTTTTGCTTCATAATCGACTAAAGTGATTGATCGATTATCAAAATAGTTTGTCAGTCGACTCAAACTTATATTTGCGGCTTTAATCGAGTCCTGATGGTAAATTTTAACATAAAAAAAAAAGAGTTTTGAAACAGAGATTTTGTTGCAGTTCTGCTGTGAACTGATCCTTGCACTTTGCACTACAGTGTGTGTGTGTGTGCGTGTGTGTGTGTGTGTGTGTGTGTGTGCGTGCAGTGTACCAGTGAAGCTGTAAAACTCTGGGGATTGTAACGACTTACTGTTGCAGAGCAGAGCAGAGGGAGTTTTGATAATGATACTGTTTTTCTGTTTTTTCTCTTCACTCTTCTGCTTCCTGGTGTAACTGTAACTCTCAGCAAACCTGAAGCGAGTCTCAGTCGTAACAGACTGTTAGTTTTTGAGCTTCATGAAACTCACAAATCACATTTACTATGTGACGCTTTAAAGACAGCAGCTTTGGGATTGATGTAAGACATGAACGTAGTGCAGTGTGTGTGAACAGAGAGCAGGTGGAGATGGAGCAGAGGTCTGACACATGCTGGTGTTTAGGGAATATATAGTCGTGATGGGAGATCTTCACAGAAACACCCCGAACATGTCGGCGTGGACGCATTTGTTTTCCTGTTGAAGCTGCGTTTTGTGTGAAGAATTCTACACAGTGACAGAGCAGAGACGTATGAAGATGCTGCTGGGATTATATTTACTTCTCTTCACTTCTGCTGCTTCGTTACGAACCGCCCACGCCTCTCAGACGCTCCAGGACCGGGTCCGTTCACAGTCCCCAGAGTCAGAAATAAACACGGAGAAGCAGCGCGTAGTTATTATGCTCCATAAACTGTATCTGGACAAAATGTGAGGTCCTTTATTTTGCCAGGAAAAGACATGAAGAACAGTGACACTTGTAGAGGGGACAAAGCAAAGACGAAGAAACACAAGGAAGAATGACTGACTAATTAATCAAACAGAAGCAAAACATTTGTATTAAAGTGTTTCGAGTGTCGGACACAGGAGAGAGAGAGAGTTTCCCTTCCTCTCGTCCTCTCCAGGGAGGTCAGAGGTCAGCGTTAACTAAGTGTGTACAGATTCAGCAGTTTTCTCAGGTGGGGCTCAGGAAGTCCAAGTCAGGTTTTATGACTAATGATTTCCGATCACATTCATAATCCATGAGTCAAGTATCTGACAGGTGAGATTTTTTCATAATCTCCCGTTCTGTAATCAATCACCTGATCCAGGTGTGTGTGTGTGTGTGTGTGTGTGTGTCCAGCCTCGTTCGCTCGTTCTGCTCTCCTTCCTCCTCGTGTCACATTCAGGTTGTTTTCTCCTCAACATTCAGACGTGTCTCCGATTTTTGACTCGGCGGTGGCAGCTGCAGCGGAGCGGGTTTATCCGTGGATTAAAGCGTGGCGTCAGGTGTGTGTGTGTGTGTGTGTGTTGTAACCGGATGGGTAACATCAGGTGAGGCATGCGGGCCGGGCCGACAGGCATCAAACTGCACTGTGGAATGAAGGGCGAGGTCTTAACGAGGTGTTGTTTTATCACCTCATTGCACCCCTCCCTCCCTCCCTCCCTCTCTATCTTCTGATATAAAAACCTGTGAAAACACTGGGTTACTCTTTGATACCAGGGCAGTGCCCGAGTCTGTTGCTTAGAACCAGATTAGTTTATTTGAGGAGCAAATAATAAACGCTGATTCATTGATACGCAGTAGATAACACCAGCTTCTATCTGTTAAGGAGCGGACAGGTGGACCGCCACAGACGCAGGGTGATGTAACGTATCCCTAACCCTAACCCGTATCAGTTTAATTGTTGGCTATATTTTTAATATTTCCACCACTTTATTCTGTCGTCAATAAGTCGGCATCAGCGTGTGGGAACGCGGAAGTTCAGCGGTGGGAAAAAGTAGTGCCAAAGGAAAAAGGCTGCACACTGACACATAATACACTTCGCTGAAACGTCCACTATTTAGCGTTTATAAGCAGCATATAAAGATTTAATAAGTGTTTATTAATGTTTTTGTGCAACAACTGTAACTCCTCTTACGGAAACCCACAAGAAATAAATCAACGAAGAAGATTTAAGATTAAAAATAAACAGAGATCATGATTTGAATTAGCTTTTTATTTTATTTTATTTTTTTATGTTAGTGGAAGAAGTGACCAGAGGAATGTGAAGGTTATGTGTGAGGAGGAGAGGGAATAAGTATATGTATTTATACATACATGCACATATGTATATAATAATACTAATAATGATAACAGCAGCTGTAAAAGGACATTTTTTTTATTCCCTTTGTAGTTTTCTGGTATTTATCTTACAATGCAAGTAAAATAAATATTATTTTATGTTTCTTTTTTTTCCAGTTGTTCTGTCAACGAATAGAAAGATAAATGTTGTTTTAATCAAAGCAGAATTTTGTACAATCCACAAATATATTTATCACCTTATTAACTGCTAACAGTCACGGTCAGTGTCACGCAGTCGATGGTAACCGCTCCAGGAAACAGTGAGGGATGAAGTCACATTGATTTAATCTGGAACAAATTGAACTTCTATGGAAAACATGACCCACATGTACAGTATGATTTTAATATGAGTTCTGCGGTAGAATGAATTGAGAGTCGCTGAAAGGCCTCGCGCTGATTGTGCTGAAAGGAAACGTATTGACTGAGAGTTTCTGCAGAGGAGGCGTGCTGCGAGCAGTTCCTCCTCCTCAGAACATACCAGGAGTTTCACTCGAGGCGAATCGTCCCAACATATCTGAGCGCTGAGTGATTTATCGGCGAGCAGAGCTGCCCCGCAGGTTCCTCGGCATCTCTGCGGCCTGCTCTAAAACACACTCGCCGTCTCAGCCGCTGACTCGCAAAAGACTCCAGAGATTCGAGATTCAGAGGAGAATGTGTCACTCTACATTGCTCTGCAGGTTTTTCATGAAGTCGTTTAAAACGCTCTCTGAGGATTAGAGTGATGTTCTGTAAATGAAAGTGGATTTGTTAAAACGGGGCGGAGAAGCACCTGCTGAGTGGAGACAAGTTGCTGCGAATGCTGCAAAAACTGGCCTGAGGTGAAGCATCGTAGCTTCTGCTCATTATGTCACAATCAAGTCAAAACAGTGTCTCCATGTAGTTCTTCATTTCAAGACTAATATCTGTCATTTTCAAGCCATGAACTCTTCATACTGAAAAACTGATTTCTGATCAGTAATGTCTGTAGATCTGCACCTTTTTAATTCTGATTTTAACCACGCAAACCAAACCAGGTTGTAAGTTTTAATCAATCCTCTAACCCTTGTCAAATTATGTAAAATAGGTTTTTAAGATGAAGATTTTAATAATTTCAGCGTCTCTGAGCTGCACGTGGATGAACATGCGTCGTTCACAGACGTTTGCACGGGAGTTGAATCGAGCGGTCAGTTAGCTTGACGCGTCGTCAGCGTGTCGCGTTATTGAGATTTACATGCGTCTTCGCAGAAGCATAATTTCGGCTTAAAGGATAAGTTCACATTTTTTCCAAGTCTGTCTCAAATCAGTTCTCCTGTGGTGATATGTGCATATGTGCATCCGTACTTCCTGTTTTGCAGAAGTGTGACGGAGAAAGTAACAGAGCTTTAGAGCTTGATTTGTTGAACTCACTGCTGAAGCTCCATATTTGGCTGATGTGTGTCGATTCCCTCGTCCTTACTCTAAATCTAGAATACTTGGCTGCTTGTTTATCATTTCCTGCGCCTCAGGCCCTGCTGGGTAACACATATCATCCACTAGACCTCGACCTCTGATCCTGCGTGTCCTCTGTTCAGCTGTTCAGCTGTTCAGCCGTGACAGCGTTATTTCTGCCGCTCAGCCTCAGCGCACCTCCTGTCTGCTGCTCATGATAAGCTCGTGAGTCACCACAGTGACTCATCCATGGTCCAGGAAATAGTTAAGGATTATCTGCAGTTTTATCAGCCGGAGGTGGAAGCCATCATTTAAACAAAGACAGCTGAGTGGTACTAAGTCTGAGGCACATTTTGTGTTCCATAATTTTTAGTTTTCATGCAAATGAAGAAGCTCACACATGAGCTCTTGTTCTTTGAAGCACATCATGTGGTTGAATCGTATTTACTTGATGAAAGTACTGTTGTATTTAAACCTCCAAGTTCATCTGCTGTCTCCCTCTGACATCGTGTCTGCCCCCTTTTCTCCCTCTCCCTCCTCGTCTCCTCTCCAGTTTCACCTGGCTGTCGGCTCAGGTGCACAGCAACATGGTGATGCATTTCTCAGGGCGCATCGCCGACAGCTTCGACCGGGAGTTTCGCTGTCTGTACGCCGACTCGCAGATCATCGACTGCTTCTACAACCCCGAGGAGGAGGGGATGCCCTACTTCCCGTCCTACCAATCTCTGATGGCCCCCGGCTTGGGCATGGGGCTGGGCGTGGGGCTGGGCATGGGGCTGGGCGTGGGGCTGGGTGTGGGGCTCAGCCCGGGCATGGGGCTGGATTTAATCTCTGACAGGTACGAAGCCGGAGTCCTTTATTTATTCACTTGTTATAAACTGTTTCAGCTTGTAAAACATTATTTCCACATTACATTATTTATTTAAAACTACTAAAAGTTATTTCCAACGTCAGTTATTCTGATAATTTGTAATAAATAGATGTTAATTATTTCCTGATTTAATCAATTAATAATTTGATCCATAAAATGTCAGAAAATAGAGAAATAAAAATAAAAAAATCCTCATATTTGAGAAGCTGAAACCAGTAAAGGTTAAAGAATTACTGTAATGATTAAATAATTCAATTTTATGTTGGTTGACTAATTGTTTCGGTCCTAATTATGACAAAAATGTTCCGTTTTGCATCCGGGCTCTTGTGTAATATAAAACATCAGCATCTTTCTGAAGAGGCGCCTCAGTTGGAGATTTAACAGTTGAACTTTATTATAAAAGATGACAGTGACATTAAACAAAACAATTTTGCACCGTAAATTTGGAAATTTGATTAATTAATTAAGAAACTAAGAATAAAACAGAAATACTTGATTAAAGTTTGATTAAGAAAAATAAGGAACAATTATGTGTAAAACATAAAGCTATAAAACTTTTCTGTGCTCCACAACTGGAATTCATGTATTATCCATTAATTTCATATATAAAATGTCCAAAAAGCAGATGTGCGTATTTCATCTGAATATATGTTTAATGTTTTAAGGGTTTTTAAAATATTTTTTGTAGCAGCAACAAGAATACTGATCCTCTGTGAGAAAAATACTAATAATAAATAGTATATATAACCTTTGTATATAGTATATATGACCTTTCAAAACCAACCTTACAAAGTGCTTTTATATGTTCATATTCACTACAAGTAAATAAAATCCAGCAAATGAAGCATATAGAATAGTAGTATTCAATAATAATCAAATATCACAATATTTCCCATCAAATGCAACATTTTTTTAATATTAATTTAACAATTATATAATAATATGATTATATTATCACACAATAATATCGTATATTGCGATATTTGGGCTCTACTGTATCAAGATTTTAAATTATTATTTTTTGCCCAGACTTAATATAGAATGAAATAGAATAAAATAAGTATAATAATTAAAGTAAATTAAACAAATAAAACATGTAAAACTTGTTGCAACTGTAAAAACTAAAGCTTTGGCTTTTTTGGACCTTGAAACTCTGCAGTGCAAATCACCGACAGTGTTATCTGAAACATTATCATGACGATCTTTACTGTCCCTCCTCCTGCAGACAGAGGGACAAAGTGTGCTCTGAAAACTCCAGCAGCCAATCGAGTAACAGCGTCTCCAGTGTGAAGGCGGCACCCGGGATGACCCCGAACACCGTCTACAAGGTCACTCAAGGTCACGACAAGAAGGAGCCCAACAACAACTCTCACCTCAGCCCCGAGAGGAGAGGCGGCGTTGGAGAACCAGCAGGAGGACACGCCCCGACACCAGGGCCGCGGGTTTCCGCTAACGGAGGAACCAACCACATCACGGTCCCTGATCGACCCCCGCCGGCGTACGGCCAGCCGATGGGCATCGAGTGGAACAAGGCCAACCCGCCGGACATCATGAGGTCGAATATCGGTGGCGCCTCCTCGAAGTTCCAGGCGCTGGGGTTGTACGACCACAAACCGGGCATGTTCCACAGCACCCCCAACTCAAACCTGAACCCCAAGACCCAGACACCCTCCCCGGCCAATGACAGCAAACTCACGCCCAAGCAGCGGACTACCTCCAACCAGTTCCTCAACAAACTGTCAGACCGCTTCCTGCCCAACTCCAGCAAAGACAAAGACGCCTACAGAGGTGGGGCGCTGAGGTCGCCGTCGCCACACGGCTCCTCGCTCTGGGGGGGGCCGGACCTCTCTCAGGGCGAGCCGGAGAGCCAGCAGAGCCCGCCTCCCCCGCCCTCCCCGGGCGTGGTGATGAGCCGGCAGGACCAGAAGAGAATGACGCTGGGCCACAGCAAGCTGGACCTGGTCAACCAATACAACAAGATGAAATCCAGGCAGGTGTACAGCCGCTTCGAGCTCAAGAGCACCAACTAAAGCGACTTCCTCTTCCTTCACCTTCCCCCGGTGTCTCTTCTTACATCACTACGAGGACGCTTCGACAGCCGCCCCCGCTGATGAATCAGTCCCTCGTCCTCTTCCACAGCTCTGACGAAACCAAGCCATTGCAGCCATGTCGGCTCACAGGCTGCTGCACTGTCTCTGCAGAGTTCCAGCAGGGTGGAGACTCATTGTGACTAACAATTAAATCAACCTGCTTTCAACTATTTCTACCGAAATCATCATGTTTTAAATAATTAAAACAAGGTTGTAGCTACAAGTAGTTTCACGTAAACCAGTTCTGACGTCATTGATCGTATTTCTAAATAACAAACACAGCTCCACCCTCCATTCTGAAGTTGTAACCCTTAAGATTTCAGTCCTGGCTGATGTGCCAACACCTGTGGTTACCATGGGTACCTATGGTTTCATTTACATTCGCTCATTTGGCAGATGCTTTTTATTCAAAGCGACTTACAAGCGAGGGACATCACTAACGCTTCAGAGCGGCAGGAGACCGCGGTGCAGGGAGTAAGTGCTGCATCTTACTCAACAAGTGAAGGAGATCAGGTGAAGAAGTGCAGAGTCAGAGTCAGTCAGACATGTGAGGGTGTTAGAGGTGTAGAAGAAGGAGAGGGACGCCCCAGCTCTGATAGGATTCGGTAACAGTTTATCAGCAGGTGTCGGTTTAATGCTGCAGCAGCTGCTTTGTCAGTAATACAGCCTTTAGAGCAGCTGGTGTATCTGATCACAGAGCAGCCCAGACAAAAAGCCTCTGTGTCTGCGTGTTTCATAAAGAAGTCGGGCGATAATAATCATCAGCCGGTGGTTTCCCGCACAACAGCTGGACAGGTGGTTCTGTCGCTGAGGAGTTGGAGGTGTGCAGCTCCTCTGAAGACTGCGTTCATGAAACTCTTTAGGATTTTAACTTTTTGGCTTCAAGATGAAAATTAAACCAGATAATTTTGCCTTTTTACAAACCAAAATTTATACTTAAATACAGACAATCCAAATCAAAGCTGTAACGTATTTCAAAAATATTCTTAATGTCAAAATCAGCTTTGATTTTCTTGTATTATTTGATACAAACATACAAAAAGAAAAAAGAGAAAGACACAGAACAGAGTATCAGGAATCAGTTTGTGTAGAGACACTGTGATTTAATGCAACCCTGAAAGTCATAAAAACCTCCTCATCCCTTTTCTCTTTTTTCTTTCTTTCAGTTCTAATGATATTTTCTTACATGTTCCTGAAACACTCCTGTATTATAACATTTAACAACACGTGCCTTGATTCGTTCTGCCTTAAAGGTTTACAATCACATTTTCTCCAGTGGCTAAAAAAAAAAAAAAGTGTTAATTAAGGTACACACGCCTTCGTTCGTTAAAGGGAAAACAAAACAAAACAAACCTTGATGTAAATAGAAGCAGAAGCAGCGCGACAGTTTTCCTGACGTCAGGTGTAAATGTAGAAACTGAAGGGCTCTGGTCAGTTTAAGAAACAATCTGCATGTGCATCCTACAGTACTGTTAACGGAGACATATTGTACTTTTTTTTTTTTTTTTTTACAATAAACAGCATTGTTTTTTTTCCACATATGTAGATTTGTACATAAGCTGTTAACACAATTACACACAATTAATAATAATTGTATTATTTAGGCGCCACAGGGGCTTTCCCAGATACTTCCTCGTCAGCGTGGGGCAGCAGCTCAGACAGCTGACTCTTGCTGTTGTCACCGAAGCAATACCGATCGACAGTGATCAATTATTTTTGCTATATGTGTTCTCATGTTGTGTTTTTGTTTACTGCTCATTTCAGTCGGCAGTGTTGTTGTTGTTGTTGTTTTTTTTTGTTGTTGTTGTCATTACTACCAAGCTGAATCAGCCAGACACTTCACAGACGTTGATTAATTAATGCCTCACGTTCGTCTGAGTGATGTACTTTATTATATTGTATATAGCACATGAACTGACCGCCAGGAATTTGGGTTATTGTTAAAAAAAAAACAAAAAAAAACAAACAGTTCTTTTTAAACTGATTTTGTTTATGTAATTTTATTTTTACAATATGTTATTTACTGGAGAATGTGAACTTTCTGTGTTGATGTTGGTCTTAATTTGTAAGATGAACATTTAAGGTTTTAATAAAAATGAAACAGATGACCTTAACAGACGTTACGTGTCGATGTTTTATTTATTTTTTTGTCCAGTTCTTGAAGCGAATCGTTTTGTAAACTGTCGTGTGCAGCCGTAGGATTTTGTTACGCTCCCAGAACTCTGTCTTCTTCTTCTCTGTCATCATAATCTACCAATCGAAAACAAAAGTCTGATCTGTAATTCATTTAATTTTAATTCAGTTCTGATTCAAGTGAGCTACTACTTCACTAACAGAACTACTTGTTTGGTTAACTGTGAATGAATGATGCCAAGGCCATCTTGTGCTTTCTAGTAGGTCAGTGAAGCGAAGATGCTTGCAGGCCATATTTAGACCCATGTGTGTTTGTGTGTGTATGTGTGTCTGTGTGTGTGTCAGGCACTTCAACAGTGGAGATCAACTTTCCCCGCTGAGCCTCTGTATGTTTTCCTGCCAGGAAATCCAGCCCCAGGGCCGGGTCACGGGCCGCAGACCGAACAATGTGACAGAATAAAAACCCTTAACAGACAGAAATATGAAACAATGGAGCATCAAAGAAACTGAGCGCCAAACGTCCCAAAACTGGACTGGACAATGATATCGCCACACTCCAGAAATCCATCGTTCATGTCACAAACCCAGAGACCGAAATATCTCTGTTTGTGAAGGAAACAAAGACTAAATGGAAGATTATTAACTGGTCTCTCTGGGCCGTCAGCAGCTACTGTGTGCTTGTGTGCATGCTAATTTCTGTTTTGTAGGCTCATTTTGCATGAGTACGCATCAACATTATACCTCTGTTAGAGAAACAACATTAGACTTCCTGCTTTACTCGCATGTTAAACAGATCAATTTTATCAGCTCAACCTAAACAACATGAGTCCCGGGTCTGCCACGTCCTACAAACATTTCCAGCCAAAAAAACCTCCTTAAAATCCACTCTAAATATCCTTAAGGTATCTCAGATAAATCTCAGCCCCAAAATGAAATAAGACACAAAATAACACTCCAACCAAAACTGCATCAGTCCTGTTTTTAAAGTAGGACAATAGCAGTAGCATTGACACGATCTTTTAATCCTTTGGATTAAAGAATCCCTGCTGAGTTTTGACCACTAGTAAGGCCACAGAGCTGTTTATCCATGAATGCGTCCTGTTTTGTTTATCTCATGCTCATGTGATGCGATACACAGCTCTGCCATTGGTTTAACATTATTTCACTGATCTACTGGTGGTAAATTGCCTTGAAGTGCCAACAAAGACAGCAAGGATGAAGAGTGTAAGATAATGAGCTAGTCAAAGACCTGGATTTCAACGTACTAAAGTATCAAAAACCTGGATATTAATATACCAAAGTATCAAAAGCATAAACATGGATATTAATGTACCAAAGTATCAACAACACTGATATTAATACACCAATGAATGAAAAACCTGGATATCAACGTATCAAAGTATCAATAACTTTGATATTAATGTACCAAGGTATCATAAACCTGGCTATCAAGGTATCAAAGTATCAAAAACCTGGATATGTGGATGTAAAAAACACTGGATTTAAAAAATAGTTTAAAAATCAGCTTTGCAAATGTTTTATGAGGAAGGAAATTTACATCTACCACATTTGTCCAATCTCAGAGATACACTGTGTTAGTGTGAAGGTTGGAATAATGTGCATTCCTAGTGTTGAGACCAATAATAGAGCGACACTAAATTGGATTACATTTCATCTGGTATATTATATGAAGATTTTCATGTTACATCATATCTCGTGTTATAATGTGACTGTTAGTTGCAGCAGCTGGAGCTCAGTATTTCATTTATTCATATTTATTTATTTATTATATTATGAAATATTAATGTCCTCCAAACACCGGCGGTGCTAAGAGTAGAAATAGAAACCCGGAAGTCTCCAGCAGGGGGCGTTCCCGGTCATCACACACAGGAGCTGAAGAAAGTTTGTCTCCCTCCTCTTTGATTCAAATATCCCCATTTTCAGGTACGTGTCCCGTCATGACAGCGGTTCATTTTTTGTCAGTGTGTTAGATAAATGTGTGCACCGTGCTCAGCGACATGTTTTGTACTCGAGTGCGTTCGCGTATTGCGCAGTAATTACTTTAAATCACCTGACGACGGTTAAGCTAGCTAACCTTAAGCTAACTTTAAGCTAACCTGTAGCCTATGGAGCTGAGCTGTGCTGTAGCCATGGAAACAAACACAGAGCTGGCGTGGTGTGTAATCTGCTTTTGTAGGTGTGTTGCTGCACCACTGTACCACCCTGTAGATATAACTTATCTACAGGGTGGTATGATAATGAATGAATGAATGAATGAATCAAGGATACACTTGAGTAGTAACACTGAATGTAAACATAACTTAACTAGTCTTTCATTTAAAGTGACTCATCAGAGGCCGAGATGCATAAAGCATCTTTAACATTGTGTTACCGTGGGATGTTTTTTCATAGATCCAATTAAGTAGGACACATTTTTATTTGCTAAGTTTAGCAGTTTAGATCAACATGAGTCCAAGGTTCCCTCTTTAGGTGGCGGCCCAAATGGAGCTGGCCCAGATCGCTCTTTGTAAATATTGTACTTCAAAACTGCAGCGCCGAAGTCTACTGGGGTCAGCTTTGTTCTGTCTTGTCCGTGTAATATCCTGTACTACAGTGTTGGAGGAGGTACACAGATCTTTTGCTATAGTAAAAGTAGCTGCCACAATCTGCTCCTCAGTTCCCTCTCCGCCCCTGTCTCCAGCCCATGTTCCTCCATTCATCTCCCCTCACCTGTCTTCCTCTCCCGCTCCAAACAGATGTTCTCAGACTTTCCCTTTTCCCATCACCTGACTGCCCCACCCATCCACACACCTTGCTCCCACTTCTCGTCAGCCCCATTAGCCCCACCTGCGCCGCATTACCTATTATCAGCTCACTTCCTTTATTCCTTAGTCGGATGTGATGTTGCCGCGTGCCTCATGTTTTGTTTCTGCGCTTTGACTTTTTGCCTGTTTAATGCACTTTGGATTGCTGCCTGCTCCTGACTGGATTTGTTTGGACTGCCTGCTCTGGTTTTGACCTTTGCCGGCCTCACTATCCCATAAGCCTTTGTACCTCATTGTGTAAATAAAATCACTAAACTATTAGCTGTGCCTCTGGCGTCTGCAGTTGTGTTCCTGTCCCCCTGCTAGCGCCAGTTGTGCGTCTCGGCACCAAGATACATTCAAAGCACTGAAAGTAAAACCAGAATGGCCCCTTTCAGGATAAAGGGATATTTTATTATGATTATTGATGCAATAATTATTTTATATCACTTTATCACTTTAATATTGCAGCTGTTAAAAGTGGGGCTAATTGTAATTACTTTATATACTACTGTGCAAGCTACAGCTACAATTTTGTTTTATCCCAAAGTATAATAATATATCTCAATTTATTTGTTAATTATATTTTGTGTTATTACAAATAACCGTAGTTACAACTCTGTGTGCTAACGTAAAAGTATGAGAAATAAGAGCTTTATTTAACGTGAAATGAATTATAAACCTCTCGGTTGGTCCTTAAAGGGATTTAACGCTGCAGCTCTGTTCTTTCAAAACAGCACAAATTGGTGTTGAGTGTGTTGTAGGTGTC